CCACACAGGCTGGGCAGGCACAGCGAAGCGTCTCTGATCGGCGTGTCCCCCACTATGCCACCCCCAGTGCCATGCCAAGGGCTGCATCCAGCCCCACCAGCAGCACTCTGCCGCACCAGGACCCAGCTCTTGGTGAAAACCACCACCACAACCTTTTACCTCCCATCCAGACAGACCCTGTGCCCTCCCTCCACTGCAGCAGCCCGTCTCCACTGCAGCCTTACCCGAACTGCTCTGTCCCTCCCCTCGGCTGTACTCGCAGATGACAGAGGGGTCGGGGCTCTGCACCGGCAGCCGGGGCACAGCAGAGCCCTCCATGTCCGGCAGGGATGAGGGCTGCCCGTTGGTGTCGATGTAGATGCTGGGGTGGCTGATGCCAGGCTGCAGGTGCATGAAGGACTGTTTGGTCGCGCCGGGGAAGAACAGATCTATGGGACAGAGAGAACCCAGTCTCAACCACTGCGCCGACGGCACTGCCAGTTCACGTGCCCTCACAGAAAGGCGGATGGGGCTCCCCAGGAGAAGGGTCTCACGGGAATCTGCAGGGGAATGATGCTGCATGGGGGACACAGTCGCACCGAGGCACAGACACTAGTCCTGCAAGGCCAGCCCACCCCATCGCTCTACCTCACCTCTCCCAAGACTGTCCTAAACTCACCCAGACCTGAGGGTGTTGGCATCCCCTAATGTCCTGCAGGACTTCTGCCTCCAGCCCAGAGCCCTTCTGCTCTGCAGCGAGACAGGCATCTGGTTCAGACACAGCCTGAGCCTGAACCGAGCGGAACCAGACCTATGCTGCTCCCTCTGCCCGCACTGAAACCTGTTGGGCCAAGCTGAAACCAAAGAGCAGAGAAAGAAGCAGGGGGGTGAGACACTGGAACAAGTTGCCCCAAGAAGTTGTGGCTGCCCCCTCCCTGGCAGTGTTCCAGGCCAGGGTGGGGACCTGCTGTAGTGGAAGGTGTCCCTGCCCGGGGCAGGGGTTGGAGCTGGAGGAGCTTTAAGGGCTCTTCCAACCCAAACCACTCTCTGATTCTATGATTCTATGACAGCTAATCCTGGTGTCCTCTGGGGACCCAAACAAGTTAGACACATCCCCTCTGTGGAAATGAAAGGACAGGGGTGGGGTTTGCCTCCTGGCTAGTAACGAAGCCCAGCTGGGGTGTAACCATGGGCTCAGCTCAGCACTACTGCAAGACCAATGTTGGATCTTGCACTAATATCTTCCCCCAGAGTATGTCTCCGTCATTTAAGCTAAACAGGTGTTAACCAAGAGCAGGACCAGCAAGAAAGCTCTGTGCTAGGCTGAGACAGAGGTTTGCTCTACCAGTGACAAAGGGGTCAAGGGCACAGCCCCACCAAGAAGGCACAGCCCCCCCAGGGACCCACCACTCCTCCCCGCCATGCATGGCACCTGGGTGCGAGATGCTGTGGGAGGACAGTGGCACTTTGCACTGAAGCAGATGCTCCCTCTCCCTCTGACCTCAGCTACCGATGGGGGACACCGACCCTGACAGGAACAGGGGAAATAAAATCCCATCCCATCTTTTACCAGCTGCCTTAAGACGGTGCCCAGCAAGGCCAGGCACTGTATCCAAATCAAAGAAAGAAAAAAAGACAACCAAAAAAGACCCACTCCCACAAAGTCTGAGGTGTTCCTGTTGATCCCAGGTTATTTCCAGAGTGGATTTTGAATTCCAACACACACAGTTTCCAGCCCTGGCAGTCTGCTGCTCAGATATGACAGCCCTGCAGATGCTATGATTGCAACACAAACCACATATGAGAGCAAAACCCAAAAGACTCCTTCCACAGAAGGAGAACAGAAAGCAAATACTCGGCAGACCCCAGAGCTCAGGAGGACTGTGCCCTGGTGACATTACTGGGCCAGATATCACTCAGAGGGACGCAGCACAGAATTCTGCTACTCCAACTCTCCTCTCCCCAGAGAACCACCATGACTGACCTGGGTCCAAGATGATTTCGGGCTCTGAGTCGTGGCTGGCCTGCAAGAAGGTGGAAGCCACCATCTTCTCCAGGGGCGTGAGGCGCGGCTTGTGGAGCGGCCCACCAGCACGGTTCATGGGCAGGTGCTTCTTAGAGGTGATCTTCTTCTTGACGTCCAGCCGCAGGTCGCGCCACTTGTGCTTGAGGTCGTCAATGGAGCGCTCGGTGTAGCCCAGGAAGTTGACGCGGCTTTGGATTTGGGTCCAGAGCTGCTTCCGCCGCACCGGGTGAGCCCGCAGGGCTTCAGACCCATACAGGGCGCTGAAATGCCGGACCACATTCCAGACCAGCGTCTCAGTCTCGTCATTGGAGAAGTTGGCCTTCCTCTTCCGGCCAGACGCTGGCATCGCCTGCGAGGCTGCGGCAGAGGTGGAAGGGGCACAATTGAACCTCGGTCCCCACTCCTCTCTGTCAGCTCCTGGGGGGAACATGGGGCTGCGGGAGCCCGAGGGAGCCGCGGAGGAGGGAGCCGAAGCAAGAGCCCCCGAGGCATCCATGGCAGGGGAGGCTTGGGCCGGGGAGGATCTAAAGAGCCGCTTCGACACACCACGCGGCAGGGGGGCACCTCATCCCCTCGCCCCAGCTCGAGAGCACCTGGGAGGGGAGAAAAGGAAAGGGCAGCGGTGGATGGTGGCAGTGCGGGGTGATGGTGAGGGCCCCCAGCCCTCTCCAACCAGAGGCACCTGGGGGCCCCCAGCCAGCTACCACGGGGGCTGCAGAGAGGGTCGTGGTCACGGCACGGGTGATGGCAAGCACCTCAGCCACAGCATATGCTTGGGGCCACGGCAGGTGGCTCAGGGCCACAGAGAGGGTGCTGAGGAGCACCTCAGGGCCAGGCTGAGGGTGATGGGGAGTGCCTCAAGGCCACAGTGAGGGACATGTGGCCATGTTGACAGTGATGGAGAGCGCCTCTGGTTGCACGGTGAGTGCCTCCAGGACATGGCGAGCACCCCAGGGCTACGGCAACAACTTCAGGGCGATGGCTATCGCCTCTGGGCTACAGTAAGTCTTGGCTGTGGTCAGCACCTCAGGTCCACAGCAAGCACCTCAGCACCATGGCAAGGGCTATAGCTATGGTGAAAGCACCAGGGCAGCAGCATGAGACCCCAGGGCAATGGTGAAAACTTTGGCCATCATGAGCACTTCGTGTTCCCAGCAAAGGTCATGGCACAGACCTTGGCCATAGGACAGGTCTATGGGCCATGGCAAAGGCTTTGGCCACGCTGAGCATCTCAAGGCCATGAGGAAGACCTTGGCCATGATGCAGGCCTTGGCAAGGGTCTTAGCCACAGTGAGAACCCCAAGACCGCATTGAACACCTCAGGTTCCTGGTGAAGACCTTGGTGTCATGGTGAAGTTATTGGTCATGGTGAGCACCTCAAGGCCATGGCAAAGACATTACAGAAGGCCTTGGTCATGGTGAACACCTCAAGCTTCCATTGAGGCTCTTGGTGCCATGGCAAAAAACAAGTGTTTCAAGGCCATGGTGAAACCCTGGACCATGGCAAACAGCTCAAGCTCTCACAAGGACTTTGGGACCATAGCAAAGACCAAGGCCACAGCAAGTGCTTCAAGGCCATGGCAAAGACGTTGGCCATGGTGAACACCTCAATCTCCAAGAGCTTCAAGATGCTGGCAAAGACTGTGGTGGCCACAGTGCAGGTCTTGGGACCACAGCAAAGCCCCTAGCCATGGTGACCACCTGGACACCATGTCACAAAGCTCCTGACTATGGCTCACCACAGCCCTGGCCCCGCTGCTCCCCTCAGCCCCCAGCACCATGGCAGACTCTTCAACCACCCTCAGCATCTCCGGGCCCAACGGACACTCCTTCATCAGCCACCTCGAGGCCGTGGCCGAACACCTCAGACCTCCAACCACCCTCCCGTCAGAGCAG